CACTGTACAGGAAAACAATGCACAGCGTGTCACTGCGGTGCGTACTTACACTGGCAGTGTAACTGACAGTATCCCCAAGGTGTATTACGAGTCCACAGTCAGGTGGTCATCAGCTTTGTCATCTACACGCGAACAATTTTATTTCTATCCCCACACTCCACATTTTGATTCTTATGGTCCTGCTACGGGTACGCGCACAAGAAGTTCAAGTTATACCCTTGATTGAGGTAACCAGAGGTTCAATTTGGGCTGACTTTCTGAAAGGGCACGTGCCTCAGGCTGTCCGGCAACAACCGGAACAACTTGCTCTTCCCATCCTTTCCATGCATCATCCCCACTGAGACGAAGTGAAGGGTCGTCTGCGACCAACGAGGCCTACGGGAAGTCAGCGGTGAAACTGGCGTCAATCTACACAGCTTCGTCCCTGCATTCCTACTGCCAGTGAAATTGACATTTCATAGCGGCAACACCCGAGCTATGACTTAACACCTCGTCGGTCTCGCTTTAACGTGAGGACCAGAAATTGGTACACACAGACACGCTTCCGCTGGCCCTGTCACTCGATCCATCCATTCAGCCCAGATGCGCGCAACTTAAATTCAACGCAACTTCCCGCGCAGAAATCGCTTCACTGTTCCCTTCCGTTGGTGCTCTCAGCGCTCACCGGCCACGGGCAACAATTGAACATCAACCTGTAACTGGAGGTTCATTTTGCTCGCTGTCTGTGTTCTGATGGACATCGTCAGTGCTACAGCCTGCCATTCCGCGTTGGAGCTATCGCGATTCGTAATAATGAAAACAGCCGTCTATTAATACAGACCATGCGCAACACCGACGTCAGATTGACGCTAACCCAGCTCTTCAACATGGACTACACCATCGACTCCACCACCTTTGACAACTACTGGGACTATGTGCTCTTGCGAATCTATGGGACATGTGTATGTCCCCCTTCGTTTCTGCGGGATGCAGTCGATAATTAGTGAATTGTGTTTTAGGCGCAGACCTTGCTTTACGGTGAGTCGGGTCGTCCATGGATCTGGAAGCTTCAAATTATTAATATAATTCTTCGGCAGGCGTCCTACTTATGCTCCTTGGTGTTACCGCACATTTGTTGTACAACAGGAGCGGAGCGGAACGAAGGGGCCTTTCAGTTGCTACAGCTGCAATGACCATCCTCGCGACGCTGCAGTTTGTATTCGACATCTGCGTCACAGTCTTGGAACTTCATATCGTCCGCCTTGGGGTGGAGGGACAGCTGTGGCCCGCAGCCTCTGTTCTTAGCACAACAAATCTCTACGATCGTTTCGATACTGCCGAGGACTTCCTGCTCGTCACAAACAAGTAAGCATCACACAACTCGGCGTTTCTGCCGATACTGATCATCCACAGTATCGTCACGGACAGCCTCTTTGTGAGTCTTTTGGCCGTCCTTACTCGAGTCATCAAAAATCATGTTTTATCAGATCTATCGTTGCTTCATCATCTGGGGACACAATGTCCGCATTATAATTCTTCCAGTACTTATGTTGCTCGCCACGACAGGTATCGCCCTTTGTGTATTAACAGATCAATATTGCGTGCCTTATTTATTTTTATTTCAGTCCTGGGCTACCTCGCCACTCTATACGATAACCGCTTTGTGCCATACTATATTGACGATCGGCTCGCATTTGCGATGGTTCTCTTAACTAACGTCGTGTTGACAGTCTTGACAGGTGCGTTTCCCCCTCTCTCTCTAAGATCTTCAACCCTATAACGAGTGAAACCTGCACTAGCTGGGCGGATATGGTGGATGCGTCGCGACGCCTGTATCGTCTTGGAGTCAGCACATGTCCGAAAGTACGACACCGCTATTGTGATCATGTAAGTTGCCCATCCATATCCCCACCGGTTGATGAAGATATCCTGCGCAGATTAGAGTCCGGCGCCATTTACTGCCTCGCAATTATTATCTATTTAATTGCTGTTTCGGTTGCAACTTCAGATAATTCGGTACTGCTCCTTAACCTGTTTCCTTTCTCATTAGTTGAAGTCTATCTTTCGGCAGCCGGTCAGCGCCATAGTGCGAGCAGCGATGCCACAGATAATGGTTCGTGATGGCACCGATTCTTACAAAACCTAACGTTAAATGAGATGACCGTGTACAGAACATCGTACCCACGTTGATCATCGTTCGAACCGGGCTCCGACGCAGTGTCGAGAATGGCGATACAACCCAAAGACGTGAGGCCTTCCATCGGGCGCGAACTGATCCTACCCCGGCCGCAACTTTCGAGATTTGCGCTGTTCCTCCATCCTTTGTTGTTGACATTGGTGTCGCGGATAACAAAGACGCAGCAGCAATTTCGAGGGCTGAATCGGAGAAGGGTGTATAACGAATGAACCTCAGATGCCACACAAACGAGAGACATGTATTTGTAGGGATTGAGAACACAATGGATATATCTATCGGTCATATCTATCAGTCAGTCTCAAAGGGTGTGGCATGAAGACATTGAGATAGAAGCATCATGGATGCAATGATTGGGAATCAGTGGTACTTTTCTATAATACAACCGACTTGACACCAGCAGTGGCGGACTAGGCGAGGCATGAAAAGGTCAATATATGTATCTTCCCTCTGCACGTCCAAGGATGGAGTTTCGAGGAGCTCATGCCGGCCAAGTTCTGAGGATATAAATATGCGATTTTGTAGTTGATTTTGATCGCATAGGCTTGACTGCTAACCAAAGGTTCATTCGACGCGTTGCTTGGCGCAGTTTTGGCGCAGTTTGGCTTGAATGTTCGCGTTTGATGGGGTCACGTCAGCAGACGTCCAGTTCTCTTGACCACCACATCTTGCCCACTGAAGAGGCCATGGAATTCCATTTTGTCAACATTCAACACCAACTACGTCGCTACCGACGCAGAGATCGAGAGCATCCGCGTTCATCTGATGCCACACGAAGCTGACGAGAAGAAATTCTCTACCAAACAAGTGGACATTGAATTGTGTCCTGTTCCAAGTTGTAGCTTAAATCACGAATAATCCATCAGGAATGTTGGGAAATCATGAGGCAATATCGGAAAGGACATGACGAGGACCTAGGGGAGGGGGGAAACACAAAGGAAACATGGCACATTTGGAAAGATGCTTCAAGGCAGTCCGGACAGAGGGCAAACTGACGAGCCGACCAACAGAAACCATCCTTTAAGCGACGACCGAACATCCCCACCGAACATTAAAGATCAATTTTCAGTTCAACCTGCCGCGCATTGATGAGAGAACGCGGGTACAAGGTATTGAGACACACCGTGGCGATTGCCGACTGGATTTTGGGCCACAACGTTTTTGAAAGAAACGCCGGAAAGGCTTTGTGGATTTCGACCCGGCAGGACGGGCACTTTGCGGCCCCATCCACCGCCCGCATCAGCAACAATGGATCGTCCACAGGCGACGGGGTAACTGCCAGCGTCTCCCCCATCGCTGTCAGATACTCCGTGAACCACTGCGGAACCTTGTACTCGCTGATGTCGTCGAAGGAATGGAATTCTCTTTTTACGGTCCCATCGCAGGTGCATGCACCCGAATTGGTGTGTGTCCGAAATGGGTAGTCATCAGACAAAATACTAATCGCTTGTTTCCCGGCCTGTCCACATCGATAGTGGTATTGGATAAGGCGCTGATACAGGGTCCCCGTAATATATCTCAATTCCTCGGGAGGATCGCGGTCCCATGCACGTAGGGGCAACTTCAGGCATGCTTTAGCCGCCTCCAGAGCTAAATCGTTCCATCCTCGATGAGCAGCCACCGCGAAGGCGCCGACGGGCTGAGGGGCGATGTATGCACGAAGGTGCATCCGGCCGAGTGCAACGACCGACTCGACGTTGTATCTATCCACAAGAATATCCAAGATCTCGCGCAATTGGCCGAGGGTTTCCACGACGGGCTGGGTGCCGGGATAGAAGAATCGCAAGACCCGTTCGAGTACCGCGGCGGTGTGGGGCATGAGAACCTCAGGAACCCCGTGTTTCGAGTCTGGCTGAGAGACACTGAACATGTCCTCGAAAACCGGGGACGTTAGAGACAGCACGATGCGGTGGACGTAGAACGCTGCGCCATCCGATGAGCGTAGGATGAGATCTTTGCGACCGGGGTCGCAGAACGGCGGTCCTGGGCTGAAGGGCTGGGGATCTGTGGGCGCAGACATTGACGAGGCAGTGTGGGATGTGGACAAAACTGGAAGGGATGATGCCGGGGGGAAACAACGTGGGTATGTACGTCAGCTGAGCGACCAGTTAAATTTGGAGCGGAGTCGTGAGTCGCTCAATCGGCGTAATGCTAGCTGGATCTGCGTGAGCCTGCGAACGGCTAGACTTTATACACGAACTCGCCGTAGTCTTTGAAATCTATAATCATAAAAAATTCATGATTGATGGAGCGGTTGCTGACAGTGAATGTAACATAGACATGAAGAGCTCCAGCGCCTTCCGGCGGGCAATTCCAACAAGCGAGAGATACGAGCTTGATTCGTTAGACTCAGCGTGTGTCTATGAGAGACTAGAGGGCGATCAACGTTGTGCCAGGTTCCGGCGCTTTCTCGGCGTGGCTTGTGAGGTTCCAGAATCTAGATCTTTGGAGCCAAATTAACAAATACTTAAGCCCTATGGAACCGAAATTAGCTGCAGTAGCAGTGGGAGAGTGTGGGCAGCGCAAACAAGGAACTTACTCGCCAGTTCGAACGCCGGGAGTCAAGCCCCGAACCACAAGTGAACGATTGCGGAACAGCGCCGTAAGGGTACTTGTTGTGTCCGTACACCAAGTCCGATTGTCTGAATAAAAATTGTCTAGGTGAAGCTATGAAGTGAATCAATGGGATGAGCAAACTGTGAGAAAACAAATCGCGAGCACCTGGAACGTATCAGGCGTATGTCAATGCCGGAGTCGAAAATCAGAGGAATCCAACCTCCAGCCTCCAGCGCAAAAAAAAAGGATGAGATAACTTATCGATGCCGGATTCGGACGCGGGGAGTCGAACCCCGGACTTCGAGTGACCTTTGTAATTGCACCGATCAGGACCAGGGATACTCGTTGTGTTCATTACACCACGCCCGAATTACGAGATTGTTCATTCCTACGTGAAGGTATGGCATAATCGGAGCGAAGTGCAGAAATGGTCGAAGAAAGTCGCACAATTGAAGTCGCATACACCTACAAAATGTACTTTTCTCTGTGTGTTAGATCGCCGGGGAAATCAAGAGAGCTTGAAAGCAGAGGAAGATGACTGTTCGCGGTGATGAGGTGCAGCAAAAAAAAAAAAAACATATCTATGATCGTGAATTCGGACGCGGGGAGTCGAGCCCCGGACTGCGAGTGAACATTGCTGCAGGATTCAACAGGAATACTCGTTGTGCTACATACACCACGTCCGATACACTGAAACATTCATACCTGGATTAAGCTATGGACTTGGTAATTGGATAAAATGGAGAAACGGGTGAAGAAAGCTCGCACAAACTTGAAGTTGTATATAATTTGCTCTACGAGTCAGCTTGAAGTTTTGGGAGTAATTGGTGGGAGTTACAAGCAGCAAAGGCTGCTTGCGGAAATTTGCCGGGCAGAAAAAAGGGTCTGCGATCGGACTATCACATTATTCGGACGCAGGGAGGCGAACATTTTGGTTCCCAATTGTACCCTCGCTGTGTTCCGTACATCACATCCCAATAGGCGTTGGTTTCGAAGGGCTCATGAGTCAAAGACGCAAGATGACTTGGAGATATTGAGTGGCACTGGTAAGAGGGAAGAGTGCCGTGATGGCATCACTAGCGATCGTCATCAACTGGCTCGACCAAGGGCTCGACTGCCTTTCTTCTAATAGCACTCCTTTGACTCTGACAGCCTTTGGGGGCGTCCTTCAGCTATGGCCGAGAAATAGAGGACCGCTACTATTCGAAGCACAAAAGCCAGCGCGCGACTCGGAGACAAGATCTTTATTTACACCGGGCTAGGAAAAAGACTGCAAATGCAAGAAACTACGCAGGATGTGTGCGACGGCGACAATATTCTTGCCTAGTCCTGAATTTGATTCCCCTCTTCTCATTTTTTCCCCCGTCACATGCCGAGCTCGCTGGCCACTCTCCACGTCGAATATGCATCACGCAAGCTACACAATCTATGCAAGCAAGAGAGGGAGGGCGGTATGGGTCTGGCTCCTTTGTATGTGTTCTCTTCAGCTCACCTTTTTTTCTCCTTCCCCCTTCCCTTCGTTCATCCGCTCCCGCCCCACCCGCGATCTGCCGAGGTGTATCTGCCGTACTATGCACGATGCGTTGCACGTTACAGTGCACACGCGAGCGCGAGGCCAATCTGTGGTATGCGAATGCGTGAGTCCGAGTGGGGCCCAGAGACGCGCGCACAGTGTACACGCACGCGAGATCGGTCGTGCTGGGTGCGAAGATGACGCCGCGTTGCTTCCGGGACGCAGGTCGCAGCTGGGGGAAGGCAGCTGCCCAGGGATGGCAGATGCTCCTTGTCGAGCTACGCGAGGTACCCACCACGCGTCGAGCGTGAAGCCGCGCTCGACGCGAGCGAGGCGGCGGAGAAGTGATCGTGGGATTCGACTGACGAGATGAAAGCGGGGCGCCCTTCCTTCCTCCACGGCATCCGTCTCGAGGGGCATGCTCGGTTCCTTTTTACCATGTATGTATGAATGCTAACGCTCCCCCTAGCATTCAAAGGCCCGGGAAGGACGCGTCGTCATGCTGGGCATGAATCTTTTTTCTTTCGAGATTCTCTCTCTCTTCTTCTGGTGCCCGTGCCCGTGCGTCCTCGTTCCCACTCAGGTTTGGGTTTGCCACGATGGGATTGTGCGCGCGGATCCGGCTACACGACGCCGATGCGCGGATGTGCGAGTGGGCGGGCGTAACCTTGAGGTCCTGCGTGGCGAGGGCACCGGGCATACCATGCACTCTAGGAGGCCGGGGGCCCTCGCGGGAAGGATATTGCCTGCTGGATCTCAGTCTGCAAAGCCAGATGGCGTGGATGCTGTGCGGTGCGGATGTATGTGTGTGTAATGCGAGTGTCGCGCAGGTCGATGACCGTCTGCGCGCCTGCACCGCGGGGGGCGCAAGCGGTGATTGTCCGTCATGGCGATGTGACCGGATCTCGAGATGCACTCTCCACGCTCCAGCGCATCCGGCTGGGCTGAAGACGCGCGAGCGGGTCTCACGCGAGTTGGATGTCTGCGTCCGCAGGAGACTCGGATAGATGGATGCAATGGGACGACACACCCTCTTCGCACTCACGTTGATCCTGATCCCCACGCAGTCCACCGTCCATTGTGCTGCCACCACGGCGCAGGCTCCGACCTCTTTTCACGCCCATGCTCGGCCAGGTCGCTACGGGCGCTTCGATTCCGCGCCTGGGTCACTCATTGCACATCGCGTCCGCTCAGCGCCGTTTCTCCGCTGCCAAGGTCGTAGCGTGCGCCCCGTCTTCTTCTTCCTCAATCCCACCCATGCCCACGTCGCACATCGAGCTCTGATTCCCATTTCGGACTCGTGCCCGCTAGCTCTTTTCCTCGGGCGCATTCCCATGATATTTATTTTATAATATATATGTGCCAAAAGCATTGTCGAACTTTCTGCTGTCTCCGAGCTGCTCACTGTTTTGATGCGGAACCTGGAACTATGGTCCACCGTGCGTGTTCCTTTTACTCGTCGCACTCGTTCCCAACTGATTTCGACCGCCGTGCTTTAGCACCGTATCTGCCCAGCCATCATCAACCATCAGCATTTTCATAGGGTGTGCTGCCATTCAATTCTTCCGCCTTAACTCTGCTCATTTGCTTTCGCAGCGGCGATGATGGCGGAGGGTTGAAGGCGGAGGCGTGATAGAGGGGTACATGGGTCACGCCTGCGACGGTGTGTTCATTTTCATTCGTCTGTTTCTGTCCTCGAAAATTCGTCGCAGGCGGCCAACAGACGAGAAAGGCAGGCTCAACATAAAGAATTGGTGAGCGTCCCCTGCCGACATCCGAGCATCCCGTGCTTGTATCCCTGCCCTCTTCAATGCGAATACTGACACTTTTTGCATGCTAGCCTGCGTGTGACTCCTATTATCAGCATCTGACGGGGACAATAGTTATCCTTTGCGCACGCCACCTAGCGCGTAGTATATCATTTGATAATACATGTGCATCTGGGTTTTTATTCCCTGCCTATATATCTTATGTAGTGTATAGGACGTCGATCCAACTGCATACGAGACTTTGTTGAGGATCCGGAGCCTCAGCAATGGTACGTACATCCCAGTTGGAAGCGCAGAATTGTGGGACACACATACTAACAGCCGAGGTGCGACATCGGTTCGTCTGGGGAAATCTGTAACCATTCGATCTGTATTAATGCTGAACCGCCGACCATTGGTTGCATGCCCATTGGGCAACCTGGATTTGACACCGTGATGATTCTCTGAGCTTTCTTCAGTTGGTCTCACTCTGCTAAATTGACCTGTGATCCTTTCCTTATTACACATTGACAAATGTTGTAATTATCAGCAATTCTCAATGTATTTAATTCTATCACTAGACCACGTAGCCTGCGCCGGAGCGAAGCGAAGGCATGTCTTGTATATATTACATAATTGTTTGCTTATGTCGGAGTCCGTTTAGTGCCAAATTCCAATCTGGCTGAACCCTGGGATCTCAACTTTGCTCCATCATCATATAATTCAGGTAGAGTCCTTGCACTCTTAAGTTAGAGTTTTTACAGGTTTCTTACTATTCTCTAGCATGGCCCAATTCTTCTTGAACTGCGGAGCGCCACCGTCGACGCTCCCGCTGCTCCTGGACCCACCCTCAGAGGCCTTTTCCCCGGATCTGACGCACCTATTGACGAGCAACAATCCCCCCCTTGAATCCGAAATCCCTTCAGTTTGCGCCGTGATATCCGAGGGCGAAGACCGCATACGTCCCTTGGATGCCCACATCGATGCTTTGAAGGCGCAAATTCAGGATTTACGAGACAGCCTTACCCAATTCGTACGACGACGAAACGAGGCTGCGGAGTATGTCCGCCAGCGTCGAGCCATCCTATCCCCCGTCCAACGTTTGTCTCCGGAATTGATTTACGAGATTCTTGGCTTGACCTGGGCGAGCAGTTGTTTGGAGGATGAAGACAGGGTGCCGGAGCCTACGTGGTACCTTGGCCATATCTGTGGACCTTGGAGGCTATGTGCCCTCTCATACCCGACTCTCTGGTCTTCCATTACTGTCCTTTAACACTACGCTCGCTCACACGCCGCTGTCCGGAGCATCTCGATTGCAGAATCACCCGACGTCCGATCTGTCACAGACCATCCGGTGTCTGAGATGGAAGAGCAGCTCTTCCGGTCAGGCAACGCACCATTAGACGTCTATTGGCCACACGTCAACAATGATTTTGATCCTCGCTTGTTGGATTTGGTTCTCTCTCACTGCTCGCGTTGGCGGAGTATGCACCTCCAAAACTCGGCATATTGTGATCGAGTGCTGGATTGGTTGCTTTCTGTAGTCGGTCAACTCAATCAATTGGTGAAATTGGAAGTGGCCAACGGTTGTATCACCATACCAGACATTTTCTCAGCTGCTCCGAGTGTTCGCGAAATCATCTTCAGGGACGAGAGCTTGGCCCCATCCATTGTGATTCCATGGGGACAGATCACTCATTATCGAGGGAGATCCTCGGCGGAGGAGCACAACGAGATCCTCCAGCTGGCTTCAAATCTCCTGGATTGTGTCCTTGCTTTTGAAGTTGATGAACTGGGTGAAGGACCCCAAATCATCCTTCCTCGTCTTCGTCGTCTCCGGCTGAACAAGCCGAAGTTCCTTCGCTATCTCGAAGCACCGTCGCTTGAAGAATTAACATTGTTCAACCGACCACTCATCGATCTTCTTCCTTTCGTCCATCGTTCATCCTGCACATTACCAAAACTCACTTTAATGTTTTCCTCGCGGCCCTCCTCGGAAATCATCGCTATTCTGCAGGGTCTTCCGAACCTCACGTCTCTCATATACAACAGCAGCAATCTCGGCGACGAAATCATCCTATTCACCGCCATGACCATATCGGATGCGC